GCGGATGCGTTTGAAATATGACAAATTTAGCGAGTACGGACGGTCGCGGGTTAAACCACGCAACCCGCAAAAACCGCCCGCACTTTATATTATTATTATATTATATTTTATATACTAACTTTGTAAATTTAACAAGGGCACCATATGTTCTCATTGTAACGCCCTCAAAAGAACCCCATTTATATATCATTGACATGCATTATTTAAAGAAGACAATATTATTCATTCATCAGAGTATACAACATAAAGTATACATGTAATATCGGATAAAAACGCCCTACAGCTTAATCTTCCAAGCCAACACTTGGATACAAAATATGCAGTCTAATAACATAAGAAAAGCCCTAGCTGGAATGTTATACATGTACAATAATAAAGACAATTAATAAATTTAGTCTTCTCCAATCCAGAAGCCGAAACTCCTCCCAAGCTAAGTCCTTGAGAGTTAATAGTTTATACCTGAATCGGAACAAAATATGTTCCCTAAAGGGTGCCACACCCAGTAGAGTAACTAAACACTTCAAGCAATGAATAAACAATATATCAACAGTGGTAACCAGATAATCAATTACTTCATTTTACAATCTCTACACTATTGCTAAATACGTTTTACTTTACCATTTTATCACATGGCTCAGAACCTGGCAAACTTACAACAGTGAATCAATATATAAATTCACATCCTTCCAATATCACAAACAAATGAGACTCAAGCTCAAATCAAACACTTCATACTTCCAGATTGATACACATTTGTAGCGTATCAATAAAACATTATATAAAAAGACACATAAAAGGAGCAAGGATCCATCCCCTATTCTCCTCTCAAAACCAAATCCGGTAGAGTCCGCCCCTATCTTCCCCGAAAACCTGGAGTCATCCCTATCTCCCCACACACAAAACAATGTATGCAAGCAATGCCTCAAATCAATAACACGTTCTTCTTGTATCAACCATAGTCAACTAATGGATTAACCAAATTGATTAGTTTCAGTTATCCTAACTCCACATGCAGTCACAACAATCACGACTATCCTCCAGATAGCCCAAGTTATTCTAAACTGAAATAACCTATGTCAACATCAATAACAAATGATACCATTACCCAATACGCCATTTTAATCAATGAATTCCATGATTTAACCCTCTTTCCCAATTCCATGAATACTTATACAAATTTAATTCAATAATATAACAGGGTTTTTCCCAAAATTACCCAAAATCCCCAACATGTTAAATACCAAACTTAGAACCAAAAACCCTATAAATGGAGTAGGAATCCCACCTCGAGAAAAAACAACACAATGTAGACAAGAATGAGTCCATACCAAGTGGCTCAATCGCAAATGTTCAGATTAAATGAAAGCCCTCCACTCCTCAATCTTTTAATAAAGATCTAGTTAGAACACACCCTAAGTGGATCAACTAAGAAGAAGTGGTAGGGAGAAGAGAAATCGGAACCTTAAGGGTTGGAATTCAAAAAAGAATGATGAAAAGGACTGATCAAAACCCGCTGCTGTTAAATAGTATACTGACAGGGCTCGCTCGAGCGAAGACTTGTCGCTTCGGCGACCCAGAACTAGAGAAAACTACGCTCGAGCCAAGGATAGCCATTGCCTCGGCCAACAACCAAAAGCTCGCTCGAGCGAAAGAAAGCTCATCTGAGGCGAAGAACTCAAACCCAGGTCTGTAACCAGACACACGCTCGAGCGAAAGGAAACTATTGCATCGAGCGAAAGAACGAACTAACTCGCCTGAGCGATAGAAAATCGCTCGAGCAGAATGCCAAAAGCTACAGGTCCAAAACCGACCAACTCTCGCTCGAGCTACCCATAACCCCGGCTCGACGAAGAACATAAAAACACAGCTCGCTCGAGCGACAAAACTACTCGCACGACGAAGATCCAAAATACTGGACAACAATCATCTGATTCTAACCCAACCAACCTGAAACATAACCTGCCCAACACATTCTATAATTCCTAAATGAGAAAATAAAGGACATAACAACAACATAACAAATGGATACCGATTCTCGAACCTATTCCAGACACAAAGTCAAAAATTGGGAAAACCTGTCGCATATCTGACATGAATCCTTTATTTTAGTATTCTCAACTTTTAATTGTCCGTAGATTTATCAGCCTAAACTTGGTTTCTTATATGATTCTGATAATACTGGACTCATCCATTTTTCCTAATAAAATTTCCATTTGG